CCGGCCCTTTTGGTCGTCCTCACCCTGGCCGCAATGTTGCAGGTCGCCGTAACCTGGCCGGCTCCGGATGAACTGGACCCCGCGGTCCGCGACCGCATCCGCCGGGAATGGGACCAAGAAATTAGGGGACACGTTCAGATCCAGCGTGCGTGGAGCAAGGAGGTCGCCGACCACGAGGCGATTCGTGTCGAGTGGGAGAGAGAGCGGACTGAGCTCATAGCGATGCGGGAGCAGCTGGTGTGCGAGCGCGAGGAGTGGGCTCGGAGCCGTGAGGAAGAGAGGCGTGAGGACGAGCGGCGCGCGCGTGAGGAGGAACAGCGCCGGTGGGACGAGGAGGAGCGCACGCGCGCGGGCTTCTACTGGGACGGTCTCAAGGGGGAGCCGCGCTGTCTTCGCCACGGGACGAGGAAGTATTCTGCGCGCGTCGCAAACGTCCCGCAGCAGTACAACGCGGTGAAGGCGTGCACGGAGACCGCAGTCGAGATCCACGGGTTGAAAATGCCGACTCCGAATCAGTGTGAAGATCGAGTGAGCGGATATCGTTTCTCATCAGTCGCTGTTTCAATTCGCTTCTAGGGATGTAACGGCGTCTACGGCCACTGGACGATCGACTTCTCGGAGCCGATGTGCAATACTTTACTTTGATTACTTCAAAGACAAGGCGAGTGAAAGTTTACCCTCTTCTTCATTCCACCACTAAGCCCGATTCCCGGCGTAGGGCTGCACCTCGCCCGGATCCCGTCGACGGGTTAGTCAACCATCTCATAATCCTGCTCCGCTGATCTCAATACTGTCAAAAGCGCATCGAGTCGCCCCTGCAAAACCTGCAGCCCGGAGACGAGTGGCGCGACATGTGCTCGAGCACCCCCGCGGACTTCCGCCACCTGCATTTTGACAGCCCGGGGGTGTGTGTAGATTGGGTACGTTCTTTTTTGCCCTTCATCGACCCGGTGATCATAATGTATGTGGTACCAGGGCAAGTACGGTATCTGGGGCGTCTGGGAGATTGAAGACGATTATTGCTGATGGATGGCTGCAAGATGACTGTATCCACTGATTTTCTTGTAATTTCCTTTTTTCCTTCTGTTGTCTGCAAGCCTTCTGCATTGCCTGAGAAAGAGAGGGTTTGAGTATACTACTTGAAGCTTCTGTGTGAGCCAGGAAATCACCCGTATGAAAGCAATGTGAAGTACACATAAACAACAAAATATCGCTTTGGCCCCCAGCACTTTTCCGGGCGTCCAAAATGACCCAAATACACAGTCAAAATTCACGCAAGAGAATGGAAGCGAGTTAGAGAGCACTAACGATGTCTCCATACGCGAGTTGCGGAGGTACATTTCGAGAGCGTCACAATAGGTCAAGGCTTAGAAACGAAAACAGACTTGAATGATCAATTAACGTTGTGATCGCCCCGGTTCCTATGGTCCATGTCATGATAGACGTATGAGCTTCGTCGTTGAAGCGTCTGTCTAGGAGAGGCTAATGTCATGAGCTGATTCACAAGCTTGGTCATTCTGGTTATCAGTGAGCACGCGAGACACGGAATGAATATACTGCACAGACCTGTGAAATCCACCAGTGCGTCCGGAGCTCAAGCAGTAACACAACGCCACGGCTAGGATCAGGTCGGAGGAAACGCCGACGACAAGGATGGCCACGATCAGCTGCGCCTTTGCTACGGCGTATTTGGCTGATCGGCGATTGCCGGCGTTCCTTGTGCGCACCCTTCAGAGTCCAAGGTTCTGCTCCCCTTAGCGGTGGGTGTTGGCTACCACACCCACACATCCACCTTTCCTCCTTTGAACGTCAGCCGCGGCCATCATACCAGCGCTCACTAATGTCGGCTTATAGTGCTTGAATGACTCAAACCGACTCACCTGTCAATTTGTGTCAAAGCCTCTGAGCATCTACACCCCGTCCAAAAAGCACGAAAACCTGCTCAGGCAAGGAGTTGAACCTTGATCACGCGCACACGTCTCGTTTGAAGGGCGCGTATCGTAACCGTTAGACCACCTGAGACAGCGGAGTTACGCCTGACGTGCGTTGACATTCCACGACAGTAAGCGGAAGAATGCTCTGGCAAGGAATTGAACCTTGATGGCCTGAGGATCAAATCGGGATCAGACGCCGCAATGTAGTGACACGCTTTAGCTCCTGGGAATTTTAGAGCCAGATGACTAGCCTAGCTGAGAACCAGAAAAGTAATGGATTTTTGAAAGGTAGCTATGGGGAGCTAGTGTGTCATTCGAGGAGACCTCTAGTGTGCCAAGGCCCGAAGAATAGCTCTGGAACTTGACCAAATTTGATTGCAACGATGCCGTGGTAAGTATTGAAGGATGTTCCAAGTCCGCTTTAGATTCCGCCGCCTTTCTTTTCCGATCCGCTTCCCTCTTCGCTCTTACCTTCATGTACTTATCCTACCCGTAGGTAAATTCAAGCTTTAAAAGTTCTGGATTTCCCTCCTCCTCCTCTCCTTCTCCCGCACGTCTCTCTGACACCCGGGTCCGGATTCTGTTACGTTGACACACACAGACAGCGTGGATCGCGCTGTGATTCCGACATCCTCTCAGACTCTCTGGAAAGGCATTCGACCGGGCGTGTTCAGACACGATGCGCAGAACCTGAGCCTTCCGCCGGAATGGAAGCCCTTGCCGCGATTCAAAGTACCGGTATCTACCAACTGACCGCGCTACTGCTCCGTCCAAATTTCGCTCGTGGTGTCCAGAGGCTAGATTTATGCTTTTTACTCTTAACAATCATTCATCCCCCGCTTTCTGGTACGGCACCACTGCGGTCCCGGAGTTTCCCGGAGCCGCGTAGAGACGGATGGCGCTGGTTACCATCATCAAAAGTAAGCTCATGCTCGGAGTCAGAACTCGCTGAGGACATGGAAGCTCTGCCTTGCGCCCATGATTCTCGCACGTGCTCGGTCCTCGACGACCCACAAAGCAACTCCGTTCAAATTGCCAAGTGGTCAACGATTCATCCTGGGACGCCGGACCCGAACTTGGCTTGCTCGCGCCGCCAGGCCAGCTTTCTCGACGCCCCGCTGCATTCCCAGGAGCGTTCCCAGGAATGTCTGCGGCACGCGGAATCACGGGCTATCACGCGCCTTTGATTCCGAAGACGGCCGAGTGAATACAAGTCAATCCTATAACGGGAACGCTAATCAGAATCACTCACACCTGCTCTCCGACTTCCACCTCCGCTCACCAATGCCCCTCGACTGCGCGCCATACACCCTCGACTGCCCGCCGAGTGCGCTCGACCCACCGGCCGCTCACTCAAGATGGCAGCGAAGCGGTACTGCACGTCAGAGTCCGCGGCAGACGCCGCGGGGCTCACGCTGCTCTTCGCGCACTGCATCGGGCCCGTGAGCGCTGCGTCCGCCGTATCCTTCCTTGACCTTAACCTGAGCGTCGGGGCAGACAAAGAGCAGTGGGAGCCGACGATCGCGGGCTGTTCGCGCTGCAGAACCGCGCCGGCACGCCGCGCATCAGCGCGTGCGCGAGGCGTGGGCGTTCGACTGGCAGAACCACGGGACTCGGCGGTGCTGAACCGCGAGCTGCTGCTTGGGGCGGGCCGCGAGGACGGGTGTGTGCGTCGTCCACCCATTATTCGACTTGTGGATACTCATTAATATTTTTGTCTGCAGCGGCGTTCGAATGGGCGGGGCGATCGCCGCGTTCGTGCGCTCCCCGCGCATGCAGGGCCGCGGATCGTCGCGATCGGGCACTCGCTGCGCAGGGACGATGTAGTCTCTTACTCTTTGCTCTTTCCCTCTTCCCTTCCCCATCTCTCCCTCTCACTCCCCCGCACCCGCAGGGTCGTCAGCACCCAACACATGCCCACCCCGCCGTACGCCCGCTCTCCTCATCGAGCCCTCGCTCGCTGCGCCGCCGCTTTTCCACGCGCACGTCGCGCCGACGCTCCCGCCATCGTTGCGGCGACCACCCTCCGCCGCGCGAGCTGGGCCTCGCGCGCGGAGGCGCGCGCGTGGCTCGCGCCGCGCGCGCCGTGGCGCGGGTGGGACGCGCGTGTGCTGCAAGCGTTCGTGGTGCGCTGCTGTCCCCTTCTTGTTTCTCTTTGTTGATGCAGATTCATTGAACGTGTTAGGACCACGGCCTGCACGAGACGTCCGATGGTGACGCCGGCGTCGCGCTCAAGTGCGCGCCGCAGCAAGAGGCGGTCGCGTATCCGGACGTCCAACCGCATTTTGCTGCGGTGCGCCGCTTCCGCGCATCGGCGCGCAAGTGCACGTCGTGTGGGCGTCGCGGAGCGAGTGGTGTGCGTTTTGCCATGTATTTGATTCTTGGATTCGATTGATGTGAGGTTGGTGTGCACAGACCGCAGATCATACAAAACGCGCTCGCGGACGCCGTGCCCGGGCGCACCTTCGCGTCTGTGACGCGCGTCGAGGGCGGGCATATGGTGCGCTCGGTGTTTCCTCCTCTTCACCCCTTATAAATTATATTGAACGGTGCGGTTCACGCAGCTTGTACAAGAGCAGCCGGACCGCATGGCGCGCGCGATCTGCGACGTGTTGGATAGCGTTGACGTCGGGCTAGATGGGCAGGCGCAGGGGCGCGTGCGGAGCCGGCTGTGATTTTTTCTGGTTAGGTTGGGTTGGTACTGGTGTAAGTGGCGGATTTATGGCCGACGGAAATTGGATGGTGTGCCTTGTACAACTCGGGATTCAACGCAATACATTTTTTTGGAATTAGGTGTCAGACTCGGCGCTTGTCCCGTGATCGCACGAGCGCCTATTGACAGCTGAGGTAAGCCGACATCTTCCACGCCCCTCCGTTCCTCCCACACGCCTTCTGATAATCACCTCCCCCGTTCCTGTCCCGCCCGAACCGGGAACTCAACTGATCCTTGGAGTATGGCACCATGGCTTCCTCTACTCCCCCCTTCGACACGTCGCGCTCGAGCTCGGTGTGCTGCAGATGGCGCGGACATGGATTTCAATACTAGTGGTATGCAGGCAGATGCACCCAACCGTGACACACAGACGTAGCGTCGCCGACGAAGCGCTACCAGGCGCTGCTCCTCTTTGCATCGTTCCTGATGGTATTCCATGTCATTGGGATTAATAGCGTCTTTGGGATATTCCAGGTACGCTCAAGCATCTCCTTAACTGATAACTGTTCTTCGCTCACCGTTCTACCATAGGACTTCTACACGTCCCCGCAGAGCAACATCCCCGGTGCACGTGGGCAGGACGCGCTCGTTTCGCTGGTGGGCACGCTTGGCAGCGGGCTCACCTGGAGCGGATGTATATTTGTCAACCCACTCATCTCGCGTGCGACGGACATCCAGCGTATCACGCTCTGCGGCGCGGCCCTCATGAGCCTCGGGCTTTTCCTCGCGAGTTACTGCAGCACCGTGCGTCTCCTCCCATTACCGTCTCCCTATGCCCATAGCAATAGCTAACGTCCCCCAGCTGTGGCAGCTCTACCTCACACAGGCGCTCCTCTACGGCGGCGGCTCCGCGCTGTACTACTTCCCCATCATGAGCGTCGCGCCGACGTACTTCGACGCGCACCGCGGCGGCGCGATGGGTGTCGTGCTCGCGGGCGCGGGTGCGGGCGGGCTGGTGTTTGCGCCCGTGCTGCGCGTGCTGCTCGACCGCGTCGGCGTGCGCTGGGCGCTGCGCGTGCTCGGGCTGTGGAACCTCGCCGTCGGCGTGCCCGTCGCGTGCGTCGTGAAGCGGCGGCCCGGGTTCGGCGGCGCTGGACAGACGCGCATGACGATGGGGCTCGTGCGGCGCGGGACGTTTTTGTACCAGGTGGGTGTCCGGCGCCCGTCTTGTATTCACTTGCGCTGATTGTGTGCAGGCGCTCGGCGCGTTCCTGCAAGCCGCGGGCAACGTCATCCCGCTGTACTACATGACCTCGTACTCCGTCTCCGTCCTCGCGTACTCCGCCTCCACCGCGAGTCTCTTCCTCGCCATCAACAGCGCCGTCAACAGCGTCTCGCGCATCGGCATGGGCGTCCTCGCCGACGCCGTCGGGCGGCAGAACACGATGATCTCCGGGGTACTTGCGCCGTTGCCCTCCCTCCGCACACACGCACTCACCCTCCTCAGGTCTTCCTCTCCGCACTCTCCGTCCTCGCGCTCTGGTACGACGCGCCGCGCGCGCGGCTTCGCGGCGTTCGTCGTGCTCTACGGCGTGTACGCAGGCGGGTACAACGCGCTCCTGCCGACCACGATATCGGAGATATACGGCGTGGATCACTACGCGCGCGTCACGGGCGCGGTGTACTTCGTGCGCGGGCTCGGCAACCTGCTCGGCGCGCCCATCGCGGGGGTGCTGCTGGGGAGCCACGCGCGCACGGGCGTCGGGGCGGTGGGAATGCAGCAGCTGCAAGGGGGCTTCGAGAAGGTGGTGATGTACGACGGCGTGCTGCTGCTCGCGGCGGGGGTGTGTGTTGCATATGTACGGTGGCTGGACGCGCGGGATAAGGGGTGTGGCAGTGGAAGGCCTGAGGACCTTCAGTCGCGTATTCATCCGCGACCAACCGACGTGCAATCCCTGACTTGTAATTACCCAAATGCTCTCTAATAGTAAGTGACTTACTGCCAATGCAGTACTAGTCAAACGCGTGAGGTCCCGTCCGTGATGCCATAGTTGAGTATGCCGACTGCTTCCAAATCCAATCAACCCAGAATCCACTACGGCCTTTGAATATTTTGAAATCTGCGCCATCCGTGAAAAATCCATGCGCGAAGCTCCAAGCTCCGGCGAGAGTTGAGGAAGGTTTGGGTTCGAATCCATAGTAGGAGGCACTGCTCCGCGCACACGACGCGGCGCAATAGATAAGCTGACTTTTGGGCGGGACAAGATCGGGGGAATGATTGCTGGACGAAAAAAGGGCTCAGAACCAAATGAATACAAAATCAGGACGGGAGGGAGAGCGAGGTAGTTTACGCAGGCGGCGCGAAGTTGCGAGCAAGAACGCAATCGGGAGGGCACGTGCTTCCCAAACATGAACTGATGGCAAACCGCTTGCAA